GCTCCTGCCCAGCTATTTCCCTGTACAGCTTATACAATAGTATGGGTTGTTTTTCCTTTCCTTCAAATAAGCCCAGAAAATCCACATGGCTGAGACACATTATAGGAAATGAAGGTAATCTGGCAGAAAGAGTTTTGCCTTTATGCTCAGCAGTTTTCTAAGTTCTTTGTAAGAAGGAGTAGGGAAGAGGAAGGGAAATAGCTCTATTTCTTCCACTTTAAGGACTCTAAAGGCACTTCAACTAACTTTTTCTCAGTGGTTAACAGCCCATGAAAACCTGTACCTTGGTAAGTACCAATAGCTGTGTGCTCTTGCTAAGTGGCTTTGTTATCCACCAGTTGTATCTCACAGGCAGTGGGCTTGTTTTTAAGGAGTAGTTTAAAATGTGAATCCAATCAGCAGGTGATTTCCAACTAACAGCTCCTGTGGCTGTGATGTTAACTGGGTTGCTCTGCTCTTGTGTCCTAAAGGAAATACCACTAATGAAATCAGCAGCCTTCAACTGGGGGAGTAAGAATAGAGTGAGTTGAGCAGAGGATTGAGAAGCCACATGCTCCATATGGAGGCTGAGGAAGTTTGTCCTGTGTAGCACAAGGGATGGCTGGATCCAGAAGAACCTCAGGCTCTTCTCAGGTGCATGGAAGTAAGAGGACACTACAGAGGTGATGGAATGAAGCGGTCCAGCACCACGCAGCAGTGTAGTATAGCAGCATGTAATTGAGGAACAGACCACTTAACTCCTGTCAGTTTGCAGGAAATCGTTCGAAGAGGATCAAAACCTAAACTCTTTCCAACTGATGGAGTGGAAATAATGTGGGAACAATCCTAACTTGCTCCAGTCCAGCAAAGGAGGCTCTATGCCTTATCAACTGTAAGATCACAACAAAACCAACATCCAACTGATAAAAAGATGCCTGGGTTAGACTGAACAACCAAAACCAATTCATGCCCGCTGCGTTTCAGTGCTGCTGCTTTCTTTAGTTTATATCCTTTGCAAATCCTTATAAAGACCTTTGGATTGTTGAGGAACCAACCAACCGTTTCCTTTTCCTGTTTGTCAGTGGTGTAGTTCTCGTGTGATAAATCAAAGAGTTCCTCTGACAGGTGGGAAATACTGATGGATGATGTTGTGAAAGTCGGATATCAGAGATTCCATCAAAAGTCAGAAAATAGTAATTCCTCTTAAGAAAAGGAAGAGGCAGGGGAGCTTATGTGTAGTAGCAGTTTGTAGGTTCTCAGAATCAGATTTCTCCACCCAAATGCTCTCTCAAAACAGGTGAAATGACAAAACCTCTCCAAACCCCATCTAATGCCCAGATGTGTTTCCCAGCTCAGTCAGCTTAGAAAATAACAGGGAAGGACAATCAGAATTTCTTTTATCCTAAAGCCAATCCTAATAGCTTCTAGACGCAGTCTGATTCCTAACTAAGCAAAAAAAAAAAAATGGGAACAAATAAATACTTTAGGATTTGTTTTGTGTTAGTTGGAAGGTTGTTCCTATCCTCTTACTGGCAGTGAATCAGACACACTTGCAGAATTACTATTAAGCTCTTAGTACAGCTGGTACTACTGTTATTAGGGAATTTGATGCTTCCCATCTTTGTGCTGGCATTGGGAACTGGACCTACAGTTGCTTTACCTGTACAGAACTGCAGAAGTGTTTGAGGCTACATCTTGTGGAAAATCAGTTTTCTTCCTCTTTTTTCATCCTTTCCAGAAATCATTAGTATTTTACCTGCCAATGCACAGGATACTTCATGGAATTCTGGAACTGACTCAGTACAGCGCTTGGAAGTCTTTCATACACAAGATCAAGTGGAGGGCTCTGCCTGAAATCCCAAGTCTGTCATTTATATTATGCACCAAAGGCTCCAGACTGGTAAGAAACTGCAAACCAACCCCCATGCTGCTGCGAAAGCCATTAATGAGAAAAAACTCATCAACTGACCAAGCAGTGCAGGGTAAGTCATGAAAGGTGGTTTTGTGTTCTCAGTGTGCCTCTTGTCATGTTACAGCTTTGTGTTGCCCTACAGAAGTAACCAGATGGCGATGCTGGGTGCCACTGATGTGAGCTTATGAAAGTAATTTAACTGCAAGTGTTGGCCAAAGTGAATGGTGTGCAGCAGTGTTTGAGGTCTTGCTAGAAGAGCCTACTCTAAGCAGAGACCAAGATGGAGAAAAAGCCTCAAAGGTTATGATGCCCTAAAACTTTTAACCCATCCCCCTACAATCATGTAAAGAGGGGCCCAAAGTAAAAAGAATTTTTCTTGTAAAAGGGTAGAAAAAGTGAGTTTGGGAAATCCATTCCCACCTCCCAGCAGTAGTGAGCTGGCAATCTGCATGAAAGCAAGGCACAGATTCCTCCCGTATCCCAAGAAAGCAAAAACCTGCTATGCAAAGCACAGGGGCTAACCCACAGCTGGGAACCTGTGCATTCAGATGCTGTACTTCGACATTCAGAAAGGCTGAGGCACCAAGTCTTTGTCCTTGCAAACCCTACAGAGCAGGACAACCAGGGGACACTGTGACTGATTACAGGCTGCAAGGACACTGACTTTGGGGCAGCTAAGCAGAGATTAACACAACCACAGCTGCTTAGTTTGGAAAGGAGAGTACAGGAGGGGAGTTCATCACAGCAGAGAGCGGATGATTTAGTGCTATTTCCACTTAAAGATCAATGGATCTCTGATACAACTGAAGGCCACAAACTTAATTTGACACAGTGGTTTTAACACCTTGCCAACAAGAATTAACGGGAAAGCCAAAACTTGGGTGTTTATGATTGCAATCCCTGAGCTATCCTTGAGATGGTGCAAGTGCCACGCCGCTGCCTGGCTGCTGCTATCATTAAGGGACCAGGAGACAGAGAAAGGAAAGCGCTAATTATATCCCAGCGCTTTCCAGTGCTCAGAGCTTGTTTTCTTTTCAATTGTTTGGAGCAAGTCTCTGAAAACTGGCACCAACTCACAGCAGCACTGCTGCTGCTCCAACCATCCGCTAGGCTCAGTTGTCCCCATTCTGCTTTTCCACTTGTTTTCTCCCAAATCTGTCACCTAACCCATGGCACTGTGTCACTGACTTGTGGTTTATGACTCTTTATAAACACATGGTAAAGTCTAGGAATGAAGAAATCCTGGATGAAAAAAGCTGGAGACCCGGCATGTGTCAGAGGCTGAGAGATATGAAGGAGTAGTAGGAAGCAAGGAAATCACTTGTTGAGCTTACCAAGGTACCAAAACACTTTTAAGAATCAGCACTTAAGGCTTTAAACCACAACTAAACCTTATTTCTTCGTTAAATAATGTAAATATTCAGCAACAGAAGTTATTCTTTCCAAGCCCTTTTATTGTGATCAGATCCCAGTTTTTTTTCCCCTACCTCAATTCCCAGACCCACCTGCAAACTCGTCATTTACTGATTCCCTCAAAACTTCCACCCTGTTTGCTGTCTCCATTATCATCATCATCCCCATCCTGTTATTTATAGCTGGAACAAGAGCCAGCAAACCTGTCCCTTACCAGGAAAGCTTCCCTCCTTCTCCCTCTGCCTTCATTGGATCCTGCTCTTTTGAACCGATCGGAGCAGACAAATGTAGCCACCCACCTCTAGGAGGAAAACTGAGCTGCAGCCCTGGTGAAACATGAAGTTTATTTGACTAAAGTGACGCAAAAATTCTCCAAGAGCTCTTTGGCAGCAGATTATCTGGAAATCAGACCATGTGAGGGGGACTGGGGTACAAAAACCTCCCCAAGATGCTGAGTTGCCCACAGGCTGAGCTCCCGACACTGAAGTAAATGTGGGTGAAGGTTACTCGAGCTGGGATAACTCCAAGGGAAGTGCTTCAAGCCGACCCCAAAGACAGGTACTTTATGAGTTTGTTTTTATCACTGATTTCTGAGCACTTTATGAATTTAGACAGACTTCGAGATGCTGTCTTCAGGGCTTACCTTCTGAAGCAAGCAGATAGCAGAGCTTCATTAACTTCTACTCCTTATTGCCTCTTTCAGCTCCACTTATAAAGTCTGAACTACTACTAACAGTCTAGAATGCATACACTGTTTTGCTTCTTTTTAAATGAGCTTTTAAGGTCTTAGAGTATTTCTATAGCTTTGGGAAAACGTACATCTAACAAAGGTTTTGGGGGTAAAACCCCATTTTTTTTGGTGAAAGTTTGTTTTGATTTTGTCTTAAAACTTTAATGCTTTTTCTTGCTTTTCTGCTGTTCTGATGCTCTACTCCCTATTGCTCAGGCACTTGTCCAGCAGTTACGAATGTTGGGAGTCAAATGCCTGTAGCAGAACATGTTATGACAATCTGAAATTACAGCTTTCACAGTCCCCATAACTGCATTATGAGCATGAAGTTTATTTAAAGTTTACAAAAAGGCATTAAACTATAAGGAAAAATAAGCAGAATCTGAAGGGAAGAAATCAATGCAAACTATTATTTATTTTATATGAAGTAAGTTTTAATAACCATATAAAGTTCTATTTTAAAAGGTAAACTGTTCCAGCACAGTAAATTATCTAACTCAATGGGACAGATTTATTATAAGTAATAAATCTGAAGAGTGTGTCATATATAGATTTATAGTCAATCATGTTTAGTGCTGAAACAACTTGCTTGCTGGTTAGCTTGCCAAGTTATATGGAGGTTTAAGTGAGGAATGCGATGTAACTGGATATATAAATAGTCATGGAAAACATGTTTTGGTGTGGTAAGAAACTCTGGGGGGAAAGGATCGTGCATTTACTGGATCTGGATTCTTGGAAGCGTTGTGGGAGTTTCTTCATGTGGGTTTTTAGCTGTCAGGCACTTACCAGGGAAGGTCCAGGCACTGGGACCTCATCTGCTGGTGCTATCCATGACTGAATTGATGGTAATTTTCTCGGAGAGCACTTGGCATAAAGCAAGTGTCTGTTGTGGTCTGTTTTCTAATCGGACAGGGTGTGCTGAGCTGCAAATGGTTACATAAATTAAGAAAAAACTGTCCTAAAACTGGAATTTAATAAACCCCCTAAGTTATTCTCCCACAAGGAAATGGATGGGGTGTATTTAAGCTCTTTCCTGCTTTCCCCCATGGAAATAAAACCCACCCAGTTTTCATTAGGAATTAAGAGCCTAAAGAAATGTTCATTCTGCATCCCGCTGTCCTTTCTGATGCTGGTGTTTTAACTCTGTTCCGAAACAGCTCTGTTGATGTGGCAATCTCTATCATAGATTTTACACAACATAACGAAGCCCGTCTGTGGTATAAGTGTTTCATAAAGAACTTGGAGCCTGTATAAAGGGGCTGTAATTTAGAGATAGCTGTTAACAAATCTCCTTCAAAGGAACATCATCTGGAAACAATGGTGACTGTTTCTTTACTTCCTTTAGGTCAAAACATTACAAACAAGTACATGCATGCAGCCAGGCTTTGACTTGCGTCTGCAAACAGGTCTCTCACTTCAAACACCATGCCTGTTAATTTGCCTGTGCAGAGTTCCATTAAGGAACTCTGCTCTATTTGGTGATATTTGCTCTGTGATGACTTTTCCTTCGAGTTTATATAAATAATTTGAGGAAGAATACAAAGGGACTGTCATTCCCTCTGCGCTTATCTGTTTCCTTGCACTACATGTAGACACTCTCGAGCCACAAAACGCGTTTTCTCCCCCTCCTCCCTGTTTGTTAAATGTCATCCATCTGGCAGCGTTCCCACTACAACACAGCATCTGTCTTCTCAACACATGCTTAAAGGTAAATTCTCTCTTTCTTGCCAACTTGTTAATTTCAGACTGAAAGATGGACAAGATGGGGACATAAAAACTCACAGCACAGGTTTACATTCCCCCAGTACTATTCCTTTCAGAGGCATTACTTTCACATCTTACTTGTATTTAGCCTTATCTGGGAATACACAAGTTAACTGGAGACAGCTCACTACTTATGCCATTCTTACCTTGGTAAGTAGCCTTTTACTCTCCCACTACCTCAGTGTGATTACTTGTTGAGTACAGTTCTATTCTGTTTTAGTAAGAAGCAAGCCCTTGGAGAATTGCAAATATGCAGATATAGGATCTATTTGGTCATCTACAAGTTGCAGGTTTCTTATAGAATACACATTAGTGGTGTGCAGAAGTACCCAATCCAGTTACATTTAAAATGACTGTCACCAGGATCAGACCTGCTCACTGGACCCATTAATTTCAGTGAGTTTTGATCACTCTTCATCAAAAGTCAGTTCTGATTCTATTCAACTAGACTGCAGAAGCATAGCTAAAACCCGAAACCCTGAAGAAATGAATTTTCTGTTGTTGAGGGCAGTTTAGACATCAGCTTGCATCTGCTTTGCACCTAATACTGCTGGTTACAGGCAACCCTCCCAAAGCTGGAACTCTGTATCTTCTACTATGTATTTATGAATATCAGGTTTTGAAACCTGAAATGGAATGTGTTGCATTTGCTATCAGCTCACAATGGAAACAAGCTGATAGAAAAGGATATTCTAGGTGCTCATTTTTTAGTGACATCAGTATATACAAACACAGCCAAAAAGCAAAGGGCATTTATTTCCTGCATTATGAACTCTAAGCATGGCTTGTGTACGGCGCACAGCAGGTAAAATGAATCCTAATCTAGTTTCAAGATTTAATTGGCCGAAACTTATCTTCTAACAACTCCTCACAGCTTGGGCACATCAGAGCTATCCCAGAATAACTTTGATTAAAGGCTTAGTCCTGGCCTTCAAAACCATGAAGGCTCTATGCTCCTTCACACCATGCTTGCAGTAAACCAGGGATGCGCCTGTTAGAAGGAGCAGTCTTTACAAGGTTCTCACTGTCACCCAGGTCACCTCCCTCCTGTGCAAAGACAGAGCAGGGCTGTGTGAGGAGAGCGGGTGAAGACCAGAAATGGTCCAGTACCTGGAAACACCCCAGTCTGTGGTTGTGCAGGGGTCATGGCTGATAACTGTGGCTCAGAAGTGGGAACAGCACCCACAGAGAAACAATTCAGCCTTTCCCTGTGTGGGATATGGGATTTCTGTCTTGTCATACAAACTCCTTGCCCGATTCTCTAGATAAAAGCAGTTTCCTTGGACTCTTTGTATTTACATACAGCTGCCTGCGTGAACAGCATCTTTATTCCAACGTGTCATACGCAGTCAAGCAGGTACATAATTTTAACCATCTTAAATACTTTGTGCTAAAACCAAGATTTAGGTCAAGGTAACAGGTATGTGTTATAATGTTTGGTTCTGTTTGCCAGCAGGGTGAGTTAACTTTTTGTCTCAGAGTTCAAAGCACTTGAATTCTTTGCAAGTGCTAGCATGTGAATGGGCAGAAGTGGGGCAGATGGAGGAGCTGCGTGAGTGATAGACATGGGTTTTGATGCAGGAACACAGCTGTAACCCAGCGAGTAGCTGGCATTCCAACAAGCACTGGCTCATAAAAGTAGCAAGTGAAAACAGAATGTAATTTGTATGATGCAAAATGCATGCAAATACCCACATTTTGCAAGTTAGAATGCATTGGATGGTTTGGAGACAAGCAATGAATATGCAGTCACGCAGAATGAGGCTGAACAAACCCTTGTGCTGAGGAATTCAGGCAGTCAGTGCTGCCCCACCTCAAATAAAGTATCCTCCAGGTGACTCAAGGCATTGAGATTTGCTTTCCTTGAAGCATCTGGTATTTGCTGTACCTCAGCGTAATTGCTTTAATCTCCTGGGTACATCAATCTGCTCCTTTAAAAAACACAGAGAACAGGAGAACCGTTTTGTCTTGGAGTGCTGGAAGGATTTTGGTTTACTACATGGCAGAACATTAAAAGAGAGGGATTCCCACACTGCCACGAGAGGTCACTGCGTGCCTCAAGGAATAAACAAAGCGATGCTCCATCAGTTGTGCGGCTCAGGAAGGAGCCAGGCCCCAGGACAGGGATGTTCCTTGAGGACTGCTTTGATAGAGGCAAAGGAGTTGGGTTTGTGCACCAAGGGGCATAGAGGGCTTTGACATCCACAGTGCTGGTTCGAGTTCAGCTCTGTGTGGGAGTAACCAAAAATGATAATTTAATTAATATTTGGCTGATGTGAACTGCGTTGGTGGCTCCAGTCAAGCTTGTAGGAACATATGGCTTCAATTAGCCAGCCTAGTGTTTTCAGCAAGCAAGCAAAGCAGGGAATCGCTGTGGAGGATGTGCTGTGTGTTAGAGGATGCTTCCCTGGAGCAGGGCTGAGGGTTGCTCTTCTTCTGTCACTCTTTGGCTAGGGAGGAGTGCAGTTCACAGGGCTGGCACCTCTCCTGCGCTCCTGGACAGCACAGCATTAGGAAAAGAAAACTGGCCTTTAGAGTAATCATAGAATCCCAGCCTGGTTTGTGTTGGAAGGGACCTTAAAGCTCATCCAGTTCCAGCCCCTGACACAGGCAGGGACCCCTTCCACTAGAGCAGCTTGCTCCAAGCCCCTGTGTCCAACCTGGCCTTGAGCACTGCCAGGGATGGGGCAGCCACAGCTTCTCTGGGCACCCTGTGCCAGCGCCTCAGCACCCTCACAGGGAAGAGCTTCTGCCTAAGAGCTCAGCTCAGTCTCCCCTCGGGCAGGTTCAAGCCATTCCCCTTGTCCCAAGCCCCTCTCCAGGTTTCTTGTAGCCCCTTTAGGCACTGGAGCTGCTCTAAGGTCTCCCCTTCAGGAGCCTTCTCTTCTCCAGGCTGCCCCAGCCCAGCTCTCCCAGCCTGGCTCCAGAGCAGGGCTGCTCCAGCCCTCGCAGCACCTCCATGGCCTCCTCTGGGCTCACTCCAGAGTCTCTGTTCAGAGCTACTGGAGGGACAAAAGGCACAGACACTTAGTGCTGCTCAGAGGAGCAAAGTCACATCACATCACAACTAAATGAAGACACAGTGAGCTTGCTTTTCCTTGTTCTGTAGCAGATTATGCTGGTGATAAGAAGCCAATGTGAATTTACGTAAGAGCAAGCTTTACAACAGCTCAGATGGAAAATAAGTAATAAACTGCCCTTTCTTACATCATTCACTATCATCATTCTAGCACCTGTAACTACTGAAAGATGGGTGCATGGAGATGGAAGTGGAGGGCAAAATCCTTCACTATTGGTGTAATTTTCTCCTGGGTATCTTCTCTAGTGATCCTAGCACACTTCTCAGCCCCAAGAGCTTTAATTCTGCAGCTGTTTGTGCCCTTTGTAGCAGTTACAGATATTTTTTTGTGTGAGTTGTAACAAGAGGGAGAAAAAGCCCATTCTCCCACAGTTTTTACAGTGTAATGAAATCCGACTCTGTAAATGCTGTGTTTTCATGTGCCAACTATACCCCTGTGAACACCACTGTTGAGTCTGTCACTCCCGAGATTTCCCAGGGAATAGTTCAAATTCCAGCTGAAGCTCCTGAAAGTTCACACATAATTTTGCATATTTTAGGCTGAAACTACTGAAAGTTCTACATCAATATTTCAAATAATGGGTTATTTCTTCCCTGTGGTCTGCAGAAGACCAGAAGGAGCTCAGATCTGGATAAGACAACGGTCTTCATTGTCACAGATCCAGCAGATCGTCAATGAATTCCATGACCTCTCCTCTGTAACGAAAGCACCAAGAAGTATTTATGTGCAGAAATGAAGTGTTTCACAAATACAGTAAGGGTTTAAGTCTCAGGTATGGAAAACTCAGCCTCATGAGATAATACAGCTAAATCAACATCCTTTACTGCTTTCCCACTTATGAGTAAGAGGTGTAAAGTCCGTAAGGGCTCAGGTTACTTTTCCATGTTCCTACCTTATTTAACATGCTCTATAGGAGGGCAGGATTGGCAGTGACCTTTCCTAGGATTCTTATGTTACCTCCAGTGGTGGTAGGACTGTCTCATCTCCATAGGCTTTTCTGGGATGGTTTCAGACTCCAAAGCCATTCAGGTTTTACAGCCTCACAGGTAAAACAGAAACCTGTTCTTTGCAATAGTATTTTTCTCTGGAACTCTGAAGATGTTTCAGTCTTTGTGGATGATTAACTAATGGTAGCAAAGTACTGCTCTGAGAATTCAGCATTAATGATGCGCTGCTTGCTATATGATGAAAGTAAGAACTGAAGAACTAGGTATTTCTGAACGTTATAAACACCTTCAAGTGACTTTCACCTCAAGAGCATCCTCCTATTTGCAGCTCAATAGCTTCCCTTCTCTTTCTGCTCACACTGGTAAATATCTAGGAAGAGGTTTAACAAACTGTCTTTGCACAAGGAGGAAAGCAATGAGCAAATTCTACAAATGAGCAAATAATATCCCCTCTCTGCTTTAGTTTCCCAAGTTATAAGGGAAATAAAGTAATGCTTATTCTTCTGCTAGCACGTGACAATGCTATTGACGGTGGTAAAAGGATTTGAAAGGAAAAATCAGATGTGATTATAATAATCTGTGTAGCTTGTGTAATGCTTTGCTCGCTATAAAGCAAGGTTACTGCCCCAGGGAATTTGGAGCACAGAGAATCAGCTCCCATTTCAAGAGTACAGGCAGCTTTTAATGCTGTTTTTACGGGCATTTGACTTCCCTGACAAAGGACCAGAGAACAAAACCTGACCTACTGACCCACAGTTCTTTTTGTGTTCTGAAGGAAAATCTGTGCTGTGCACTTTCTTTGTTTGGGGATGCTTCGTTTCCCTTGTGTTATGCTCCCAGCCCACATGAAGAGGGCAGGGATAGCCAGGGGTTCTCCCAGTCTGCTCTTTGCAGTTGTACCCACTGCCCTTCCTGGGGCTGGAACCGCAGTGCTAGCAGATCCAAATGGAAAGCTGCCTTTATTTCCCCAAGGATTTAAATAAAACTGGGGACAATGCTTGTCCTTTAGACCCACACGTTAGCTCTTACTCAAACCAATCAAATTGAAGTTTTCTGATCTTTTTTCCTTGCTATTATTAGTGCTGACTGAGCCTCAAAAGTCCGTTTGATGCAAAACAACTGAGGTTTAAACACTTACTTCAACTTCCATTTAAACCTTCTAGGTCTGCTGCTAAACAGAGCAGAACCTGTGGAATTTCTGAAGAGAGGTGGTCCTGAAATGTAATTTGTATATCCATTGTTATGTCATATTTGTTTCATTCATTCTTTTCCCTTCATACTGGGTGAACCTCGAAATGGTCACAGGATGAGTGGGTAAGACACAGGATGAACTTATGAAACTGAAAACACGAGCCACACTAAACTCTGCCCTCAGTATTGCAACCTGGGAGTCCCACAGCCTCCCTGGGCGTGAAAGCAGGGTTCAGAGGGGAATGTGGTACCAGAAGACAGTGGGACTGTGACTGCCAACAGTGCACAAAGTCCAGCAAACCTGCCCAGGGGTTATAAACCAGGTACAGCAGCTTCTGCTGCAGGAGAGGATCACTGCTTCCTTCCTTTCTCTGTACTGAATCCCGGATTATCTGCTAAATGATTCACACTGCATGCTGTGATGGTTCATTACTTCCAAAAGCATTTTAATTACAGAATCTGTCAGTTGTAACTTAAAAGTTACAGCATCAATAAGCCCTGTAATGGATTTTTAACTATTTTCATTTCTTAGATGGTGTTTGTGCCTTCAGTGTGATGGATTTAAATATGGAAGAGGAGTTCTAAAAGTGCTGGGAATACGCTGGGAATAAAAGTGTGGGAAGATAAGCCACAAGGGGACTCTGCTGCTGTCTGTGTGCAAGTGATTGGAACAAATCCTGGTGAAAATGGAAAAAAAAGCAACAGGGAAAGAGACTGAGCCACTGACTTGCAAGAAAGATGCTTCAGACTGTAACAAAGGAGAAGACTGTAAAGAGAATGGACTTCTGGTCAGGAACACTAAATCTGCCCTGCGCCTGGTGGAGGATAGCAACAAAGTCCATCCCAACCAGGGCGATAAAGGGCAGGCAGCTCAGGTCTCAAATGGGTATTCAGGGGGGCAGAGCTCTGCTCCCTGCAACGGCATGGGAGAGGTGGAGGATGCCCAGTGCACTGCCCCAGCAGCCACCACCACCACTACAACCACCACTTCCACCACCTGCGGAGCAGAAGGCCAGCAGCAGCTGATGGAGCTGGAAGATAGAGAGACCTGGAGTAAAAAAATTGACTTTCTACTCTCTGTCATTGGCTATGCAGTGGATCTGGGGAATGTGTGGAGATTTCCTTATATATGCTATCAGAACGGAGGAGGTCAGTGACTAGTTTTGTGTGCTGTTCCTTAATGCTGAACTTCCTGCTTGTAAATGGATGGGTTAGTGGCTTATTTTAGCATCATACATAACAAACAACAAAGGGAAAACTACTTTGCAAGCGTATTGGAAAACCTAAATACTGGAGTAGAATAGCTAGATATTAACATGGAAGAAAACTAGTTAGCAAGATCTAAATTGTCAGTACAAATAGAAGCCAAGAGCCAGTTGGTACAGAACCATGTTCCAAGAGAACAGACTCAATCCCTGTCCCAAGGAGTACTTTAGAATCAGATAAACCAACATGTCAAAACCAGCTCATGAGGAATGCAAAGCCTTCGACTCACTGATATATCAGCCAAATTATAAATCTAATCAAGGAGCTCTTGGAAGGGACTTTTCTCTCCCTGATGTAACAAAGGCGTTTTACTGAAGAAATTATTTCACCTGTAGCCCATCCCTCTCACAGCTGTAACCCACTGTAGCCAGTGCAGTTTTGGTGAATCCTATGTATACTTGCTATAGAAATGTGAGACATTTGGCCTGAATGTTGCTTGTTACTCACTTTACTAAGTAGTTACTCTTATGAGAAATCCCATGGTAATTCAGTGTGGCACAGTGGCTAGGAAGGGGATATGCAGTTTTCCTGTGGGATAAAAGGAATTCTTGTGTATGGAGTGCTGGTACTGTTGGAAGAGAAGCCCTACGAAGAGTTAGAATAACCCGCTTTCTTTCTTGCAGGGGCATTCCTCATTCCTTACACAATTATGGCCATCTTTGGAGGGATTCCTCTCTTCTATATGGAACTAGCACTAGGACAGTACCACAGGAATGGGTGTATTTCCATTTGGAGAAAAATATGTCCTATATTCAAAGGTAAAGAAGGGGAAGGGGAAAATACTGGGGACTTCCAGAATAACTGGAAGAGTTTCCTATAAAGGTGCAATTTCTTAAATAAATATTAAGATCTTCTAAAGCAAAGTAAGGCTTGAAGCCATAAAACAAAGAAAGCTTTCATAAAGCTTTATGTACACTTGAAGACATGCGTGTGCTCTCATATATATGTATGACATGCAACTGTCTAACTGATTAGATAACCATTGGGTCCATGTTCTCTGACCCAAGCCTGGAAATATTCAATAATAAACAGAAAATGTAATTCATACAGTGCAACATTCCCAAATCCAAGGCCAGGAAAGCATACAGATCTACTATTTCTGTTACAAATAAATGATTCCCTATCTTCAGCCTGGTATGTCTATTGCTGTCCTACCATAGAGTCTCTTTGAGTAAATGGGCCTGTCCCATATGCTCATTTACTCTTGCTCCCAGGCTTGAAGCTCTGGTCCTGTCTCTTACTTACTGAAAGTGCAAGATGCTTATTTCTGAATTCCAGGAATTTGGGAACAGATGGGAAAAAACCCTATATAAGCATGTTCTGTCTTGCTTAAGGATCCTTTTTTGGAATCAGAGCCTGAATGTTCCTGAAGCCCCAAGAAATTCCACTGGTGTAGATACTTGAGATTGTAGCCTACCTCCTGAGAGCTGCCTTAGTTACTAATTGTAGTTGATGTGGTAACAAATCCCTTTGGTTTTGGCCTAAAACTTACACTTACTTCATGTAATTATTTCCTGCCTTACTAGGAATTGGCTTTGCCATCTGTATAATAGATCTTTACGTAGCCTCCTATTACAACACCATTATGGCTTGGGCCTTTTACTACCTCATCTCCTCCTTCACGACGGAGCTGCCATGGACCAGCTGCACAAATGCCTGGAACACAGGCAACTGCACAAACTACTTCAGCAAGGACAATGTCAGCTGGTCCCCACACTCCATCTCTCCTGCAGAAGAATTTTATACGTAAGTGCATGTAAGTGAGGATGGTGATATCAGACAGACTGGTGGAATATGTAGCAAGCTTTGCTTTGGAGGGGGAGAAGGGCTCCTTATTAATGGGACCCTCTTCTGAAGTATTCAGATCACTGAGTACTTACTTGTAGGTGTGTGTAAGCTTAGGGTGTATGGGAGGGTACTCTGTATTTTCAATAAAGGGTTCCAAACCACTGTCATCACTTATCATTTAGAATCATAGAATAGTTAGGGTTGGAAAGGACCTTAAGATCATCAAGTTCCAACCCCCTGCCATGGGCAGGAACACCTCACTCTAAACCATATCACCCGTATCATCACTGTTGCCCCATTAACTAGTTAAAAGATAAAAAGACATGACTGAAGGCTACTTTTCAAGGCCTCAGGACTACCTGTAAAGCTCAGACAACAGTACAGGACTTAACATCAGCTTCTGTTAAAAAATATCTATACTTGTGTTTTTCTTTCCTCTTTCAGACGCCAAGTTCTACAGGTGCACAGGTCTGATGGGCTGGATGACCTGGGAGGCATTAGCTGGCAATTGACCCTCTGTTTATTGCTAATCTTCACCATCGTATACTTCAGCATCTGGAAAGGGGTCAAAACATCTGGCAAGGTGAATGCGAAAGCAGGATGAATCAACGTGGTACAGTATAGTCTAGCAGCAGTTCTAAAAGAGCCAAGTAACTTGACAGAATGATCTCAGATTGTCTTCATGACAGGGATTATGGATTTGGAAAGCACTTAGTGTGGCGTGACTGCTACTGTTATTCAAGTAATATGTAACAACAGTAAATCACACCACTGTTCTCTGGACCAGAACAACCCTGCTGAGGGAAAGCATGGGTATAGATGTGCAAGCTGCTTGTCCACAGATCCTCTGAAGACACTCACATTGAGGATGTTACAAATGCTAAGAGCTATAATAACTATAATAACTCATTATCACTGTTAACTTTCTACCCCTGGCAAACACTGTGCTCCTGTTTCCCCTCACAGGTGGTGTGGGTAACTGCCACATTCCCTTACATCATACTCTTTATCCTGCTTGTGAGAGGTGCAACACTGCCCGGGGCTTGGAGAGGTGTCCTCTACTACTTGAAACCTGACTGGCAGAAACTCCTGGCCACTGAGGTAAAAAACCATTACAAAAGGGTAGAGATTTGCTGTTTGCCATCAGCATGTATACACTTCAATGTCTCTTTTCAGCACAGAGTGTAATTAAACAGATGTATTGGTGTGGATTTACAAGCCTGGCTTTATACTCTTGTTTAAAGTCAAGCTATTCTTTCTCTAATTATAAAGATGTTTAAAGATTAGTATTCACCCTCAGTTCAGCTTGAACTAAGAGCAGAGCTCCCAGGCAGGGGCTGAACACAGTTAGTGATGTGGTTAGATGGAAAACAAGCCACCAAACAATTTCTCACTGGGAAAATGGTGCCACTGAACAAGAAGCTGTGATTGCTGCTACCCTCAATAAATCCCTTGACAGCCACACTGAGCAAAGTAAGTTTCCTAAGCCCTAACAACAGCTCTAGCTGCAGGATTTTTGGCTGTGATGGGATCATTACACAGTTGGGCAGGCTTTTCTGCAGCCCAAGTGTCTACAGTTGCCTGTGTTTATAGAGTAAATAGTGCTGGTTACCAGAGTGGTAACTTCCAACCTCCAAGACAAGATCTGGCAGATAAGCCCAAGGAGGCTCTCTGTAGCCACCAACTAAAATATGACCATAATGCATTTAAGTGCCTGTAGAGGAGGAATAAATCAGTTAGGCCTGCGTTGACCACCAGGATTCAAAAACAAAGGAATGAGGACAAGACTGTGGTAACCAACAAACCCCAGGCATTCCAATATCTGATTCAGCTTTGAACTCTGTGGGTGACAAGTGGTCCATCAGGCTCTAGGCTACACTTACTTCACTGCCTATGAAAGTGTCTAGTGAGGAGGGTGATGGAAAAAAAACAAAGCAATAAATACTACAAATATAAAGATTAAAAATTCTAATGTTTGCAAGTCTGCTGCTGCCCAGCTGATAGGGAGAGTTGCGAATGAAAAGGAAATGAAAAGACACCAGTCTCTGATAAAGCAGCATCTCCAATAAGGGCCCACATCTTCAGAAAAAGCAATAAAGGGCATTGATATTGTATTGGCTGTATCTGAAGTGAGGACAGCAGATCACAATCTGTTTGCTGGATGGTGATAGAGCTCTGTCTGTGGGTGATACAGGATGGCCTCATACTATGGAAGAGAATATTAGAAATGAGATGTAATGAACTCCATGGTTCAATCAAAAGAGGATAAATGAATGAGGACTTTCACCTTTGGAAACAGGACTGATACTGTACTTTAGGAACAATACTCATTAAGGCTGTGGCCACTTTTCAAGTACAACAGGCATTTCATAAAGAGATCATCACACTTGCATCTGTCATGGCTACAACAAAGCTGCACTGAATCCCGAGGATCAGTGCACCCACACTGTCAAATGCATTTCCATATAGTAGGAAAAGTCTGGGCAGTGATGATCTACTAGTCAGCCTGGAGGACACACAGAGAGCACAGAGAGTTTGGAGGAAGATGGGCCAAGCCTACTGCAAAATCATGGATAGGAAGTTCTCACCTTAAACTGGTTGCAGGCAAATCACTGCGAACTCATCTCAGATGCTGTCAGGAGTGAAACTACCAGTGAGTACTCGAGACAGTGTAGAGGCACAATAAGCACAGAATAGGCACTAAAATGACAGTGGATATTTACAACTCTCACAGATCTATGATAAATGTTTGTAATCCAACATGCTTTCTTAACAAAATATGTGTTACATCAGGAGTAGGAATACAGGCAGACTACTGAGACATGGTTTTGTAGGGCTAAGTGATATTCTCAATATGCCAAACTCATTCACTCTGGTTTATGTCATTTTTTCCCTTGATCTTCACTATTTTTCAGGTTTGGGTGGATGCAGCAGCTCAGATTTTTTTCTCCCTTGGCCCAGGTTTTGGGGTCCTATTGGCTTACGCCAGCTACAACAAGTTCCATAACAACTGCTACCAGTGAGTTCTACCTGATTCTATAAGTCAAATTGAATTTAAAAATGTAACTGTGGCTATTTAAAGAAAAGAAACCCGGTGCTGGTGAAAGGCACTATTTATAACTTGGATAGAATAACATTGGATAACTTGTATAAAATAAAGTTTTCAATTCTTTAATATTCTTACAGTAAATCCTATTTTTCTAAAACACCAGTGTACATCCAGCATTCAATCCAGTGTCAGGCTGATGTTACAGCAACCGTTTGGAGTTTGGGGTTGGGGTTTATGTTTCTTTCTTTCAAATCTACTGCTTGATTTTTCCCCTGTATTCCCCTAGTTTTTCTAGGACTACATCCAGAACACTAACTCACCCCATCTGTAGTAAACCACTCCTTCTAATGCTCCATCCCTGGCTGTGTTCAAGCTCAGGTTGGATGAGGCCTTGGGTGATATGGTTTAGTGCAAGGTGTCCCTGCCCTTGGCAGGGGGGTTGGAACTTGATGATCTTAAGGTCCTTTCCAACCCTAACTATTCTATGATTCTATGCTGATTCCCTGACACGAGTTAGGTCTTCTGTTGCAGAGATGCTCTGGTTACCAGCACCGTGAACTGTGTGACTAGTTTTGTGTCTGGATTTGTCATTTTCACCGTGCTGGGATACATGGCTGAGATGAGGAATGAAGATGTATCAGAGGTTGCTAAAGATACCGGTAGGTTATGTTTACAGGCACATCTCTCAAAGTGCTTCTAAGATAGAGTATAATCTTCTAGGTTGCGAATAGCCTCCTCTCAGCAGTAGCATGCTAACAGTTATCACTGTTCTAATACCAGGACCCAGCCTCCTCTTCATCACATACGCTGAGGCCATTGCAAACATGCCTGCTTCCACCTTCTTTGCCATCATCTTCTTCCTGATGTTGCTCACGCTGGGGTTGGACAGCACGGTGAGTACACAGCAGTGCAAGGCAGTGAACCTCTCGGGTAGCTGGTGTATGGCATCACCCCCGCCAGCATCAGAAGACACCGAATTACAAATACTGCACTGCCACTAAAGGGTTTAAGGCAGGATTGGCATCTCCATGTAAGACAGCAGCCATTACCTAAATAGGCTTAAATAAAATTAAATGCCCTGTCAGTGTCACACTGTGGAAATCAGTAACTCCTTCCAGCAAGGCTGAACTCAGCTGATTTCACAACCTTGATTCTCCTGAGCCACCTACGACTTACTGGCACCCTATTCCTTGTAATACAGTATTTCCTCTGGATGGTAGGCATACCCTACAGATCCATGAAGACTAAATCCCCACCTTGAAGAGTTTAAAAGTGCTGAAGCCTGTCTAAACAGCAGTCACACAGCTCCACAGGCAGAATAAAACACCACTGTTCCAATGCTTTAAAGCTCCTTTAAGCACTGAAACATAACTTCAAGGCAGGTAACACTACCCTCTATTTTCCAGTGACTTTTCCATGCTTTTCAGTTTGCAGGACTAGAGGGAGTGATTACTGGAGTCCTGGATGAATTCCCCCATGTCTGGAGCAAGCGCAGGGAACTGTTTGTCCTTGGTCTGATCATCATTTGCTTCCTGGGGTCATTAGCAACCTTGACATTTGTAAGTATTTCACCCACTCCCCAGTTTTCCTCACTGGCAGGTTCCTGCTAATGACATCTTTGAAGAGTTTCAAGGATTCAGATTAAATCTCCAGCCTGTTTTCTTCATGCATTAGAAATCTGTATGTGGAGTGAAATGGGAACAGTAAATCTCACTAGGAAATGTGCTGCAAAGTGATCCTTTTGCAATTCAGCACAACTCTGATGTGCTCCACATCAGAACTGATGCAGCTGCTGCTCCAGCTGCTCCAGGAACAGGCAACCTTCCACATTCTCTATGTGGCTTACTTCTTGTTGTCCAAAGCCCCATGTTCAAAAATCATATTAATTGTTATTTTAATTTTTGCAATGTTTAAAATAATTTTTTAATAAATTTTTTTACTGAACATACATCTGCTAGAAAATGCTGTGATTGCCTGCTGCTGCTCTCCAAAAAATTTCTAGCAACGGATTTCCTGCACCTTCCTCATAAAATCAGGCCACAAATCAGGATCAGTCACACCAAATAGTCCCTGTGGAGCTATTTTCACAAGAAGCACAATTCTGAGTAATGAGTTTAATGATCATATGGAAGAAGTAAAAATACTTGGCTTTTGTGTCACATTTCACTCCACTTGCTCTTTTATGTGCAACTTCCTTCTTATTTAAGGCATTTGCTGCAAATAGACTTAGCTCCTCTCCAAGACACAATGCTCTTCTCATTCATGATTCTAGACCCCAAAGAAAGCAAAGTAACACCATATTTATTTCCTGTTTGGTTAACTGTGACTCACGGTGGTGAAAGATGCCATCAGAGGAGGCATGCAAAAAGCCATCCCATCAACCCCCATCAAATCCCAATTGCTCCTTAAAATCCAGCTAGAACTGCCAGTGGGTTCAGCTTTAACTCGTCTGCTTGGCAGCCCCACTGGTTCACAGGGAGGGAGCAGACCAGCAGCATGCTCAGGGATTTCACTGCCAGGAACAGCCACTCAGTGACAGAACTGAGTGACCCATCTGGGAATGCTCTGCTCCAGATGAAAGCAGTAATAAAGAGCAGTATGAGCAGATTCCCATCACTGGATCTTGGGTTCACTGATGGTGTGGTCTCCTTTGCAGGGAGGTGCATATGTGGTAAAGCTGTTTGAGGAATACGCCACAGGTCCGGCTGTCCTAACCGTCGTGTTTCTGGAAGCGGTTGCTGTGTCCTGGTTCTATGGTATGCCTATTGCCATGCTGACACACAGTGCTGAGCTGCTGCAGCCTGGTATTTCCTCTGTTCAGCAGACAAGATCACTGGTGTCTCCAGAAAAAGTTTACAAACTCACTGATTACTAAATCCATGAGAATTAACTGTTCTCTGCAGACATCTAAATGCAACAAGAGTGGTAACGCAGAATTAAGGATTTAATATAATTAAGACTTGCAGAAACAAAACAGTCTTCCATTATGGAGTCTAGATTTACTTGTGTATACAACATGCTGTGCATCTACTTGCCAAAGGCTTACATCTGTTGTTACTACTCTCCTCCCACTTGTCTCCACAGGCATCACCCAGTTTTGCAACGATGTGAAAGAAATGCTAGGCTCTGCCCCAGGCTGGTACTGGCGAGTTTGCTGGGTAGCGATTAGTCCCATCTTCCTTTTGGTGAGTTTCCTTTATAGCTTTTTCTTTCCAGCACCAGAAAATTACCACGGAGCAATGCTGCTCCTTCGACTTCTAAAAGCTTCATTACAGAATCTCCTGGTGAAGGTCTTTAGTAACACTTTTTGTTAACTCAAAAAGGCTCAATCCAATGCAAGGTCTTGTTACTAAATCACTGTTTTAAGGATTTTTGTTAGTAAGGCTGGGTTCTCCACCTCTCTGCTGAATAAAGTTACACTGGTTTGTTGCTTTATGTTTACCTCAGCAAAATGAGGCAATAAAAGATGATGATAAAATATACTGCCTGGGGAGGAAAGCCAAGGTAAGTAAATATACTGCCTCAGCACCCGCTGACTGACAACACTGGAATATTCCACTTAGAATTTAGAGCAGTTAATTACAACCTTTATAAATCTGTAATTCCGAGTTGGAAGCACTGTCCCAGTGTTTGACTTGGCAGGATTATTGATAACATTTGAACATAAAGTGTTCATTTCCTGATCCAAAATTAGTTCACGCTCTCTTTTATTGCCACTAGCCTTAGCAGGAGCAGAGCAGGTCAAGTTGGAGTTTATAAAGCACAGAACGTAGGTGTAAGACCTACAGAGTGAATTCCAAACACTTGTGATGGTCAATGCATCATTAACAGATTATCATTTTATTACCCCTAGAAAAAGAAGGGAAGAAAAGGCTATAAATTGGGGTGACACCACAAAGAATTTTTATATTCCTGGCCTCTTTGTGATCCTAAGGCAGTAAAATAAACAGGGAGGAACATGGCTCTGGGGATGGGGTTACCAGGCAGAGCCATTTGGACTCTCCGTGGAAACAAAACTAAACTAAGAGAAGCCCAGAAGATAGCAGGTTATTTCTGTATGGGAATTTTGCTGTTAATCCTGATATTCTAATGATAGAATCAGATGTCCTTCCAATGCTAGTCACAAATATTATTCCTGTGATATTCAACTAAAAGTATTTGTTGATTCACTGGGCAATTTTCATTCACGAAGGCTATGCACTGGAAAGTGATCTAACAGCATCAATCGAGCTGATAACAGAATGCTGTATCCAAACTAGCATTAACATTTGTAAAAGCTACTGAAGAACTGAAATGCTCTGGAAAAATACCACAGAAAAGCCAAACTGTGTAGAAATAAGTAACAGTGGAAAAAAAAAATAGAATCTGTATAGCTTATCACAGAAAAAGCTGACAGCCAATGTTATTACCACAGGTAAGTACTCTTAATAGTATTTCAAAGAGTATTCAAAGGGGCTTCAACCCAATAAAGAACAGCATAAAGCACCACCACAGTGGCTGTGAGTTAAATTCAGACTAAACAGAATTGACACTGATCATAATTAAATGTAGGACAAGTGGCAATGGGAAACTCTACACGTCCCATTTCTGGTGGCTTAAAATGAAGATGAGACCTTTCTGGAAGGGATCCTTTGCTGGAATCAAGTTATAGGGCTCGACAGAAGGGTAACTGGATGAAATTTTGCGCACTGGTATCAATCAATCTGATTCTGCCCATCTAACATCTTTTTTTTTCCTTTAAATGTACAAGTGTGGTCCTGAATCGTGTCTCTAATGCTTCTCAGGCAACAAACACATCCATGTGTATTTACAGAATAAGTAACTCATGTGAGCCTTTTTACCTGGCTCTTTCAGTGCCTGGCTGGGCTATACCCTGAAGCACTCAAGCTCCTTTAAACATCCTGAAGGAAAGTCTGCGTATCCAGAAGTGGTTTGGAGGGTTCTTTAGTTTTGGGTTTCTGGTTGTTTGATTGGGTTTTTTTAATTCCATACTAATGTCATTTAGGATTTTTTTCAGTGACAACCTTTTAATCCTACTTGTGGTTTTTAGTTCAATGCTATGCTGGGATATGGAATTGCTAAAGTGTCTGCCATCAAAATACCAGATGGAACAATCACACTTTCCTCTTTTTCCTTTCCCAGTTTGTCACTTGCAGCTTCCTGTCCAACCCTCCTGAGCTACGGCTTTTTGATTATAACTATCCCTACTGGACCACAGTAGTGGGTTATTGCATAGGAACCTCTTCTGTCATCTTCATTCCAATCTACATGGTGTATCGGTTGGTCATCACACCAGGAACATTTAAGGAGGTAACGATGATGCTGTCATAAGTCTGTGACAGCATTTTTGGGATTTACAATTACATATTTATGTAATTACCAGTTCAGAAATAGTATGTTCAGTTGGCTCAGGGTATCCAAGTGAACTGCAAAGTCCTAAAGCATTAATACAACAGCTGTCAAACACTGGTTCAAATGATATGTTACAAACAAAAATAATACTATGTACTTCTGTAGCACCTTATATCTTCATGGTGCTGAGATGAAAGAAGCCTGAAACATCTTTGCGTTGTAGTTCCTGAGGCGTAACTCAAACTAAATTCGTATCTTATTATAAACCTCTTTCCAAATGGCTGTCACATTATGTATAACCTCTAAAATCAGTTGATTTCTAATACTGCTTTCTCTCCAACAGCGTATTCTGAAAAGCATTACTCCCGAAACAGCTACAGAAATTCCTTTTGGAGACATCCGCATGAATGCAGTATAAGCTAACCGGGGGGGAGCACAAAATGTGACTTTCCCCATCCTCTTCCCCAAAAAAAGAATTTAGTTTCCAGATAAGACAAGAAATGGAGTTTTCCACGGAGATGGCATCACTGACAACGGGCATCTGGAAACACGGTGCCTCCAGCACACATATCCAAGCAATTCAAGGAAATCTCCAGTGCACTTCTAACCAGCCTGAACTGACAGAGAGCCAACGCATACTGGGAACACACGGCTGTCTGTGTGCATGAGAATACCACTACTCCATGCTCTGGGGCTGTCAGAAAGTGTGCATGGCTGAGTAAGCCACTAAAGGACAAGTATCAGCGGGTAGGATTAGGTGTAGAATCCCAAGTCTGTGGCAGTGCTCCTGTATCTTCCTCAGTGTGATCGTTTGTACTGGGCAATGTCGTATTCGCTTTTAAGGTTCTAATTGCTTAAACTACATTGAAAAATACAAAGATATTTCTGATAGCCATAAATGTATGACTCAAGTAACACAGGGTTTTATAAACTAGCCAAAAAAAGTAGTATACCCATAGGTTTGTAATGGAGTAGAGAGAGGAAGAGGAAACTGAGGATTCTGAGCAGCACCATATACAGCTCTGCATACATCAGCACACACGGTTGGTGGCATTATCCTCCTTTTCATTACCAGTGTCTGCTCTTCCTTGTGTAGTAAGTACTACAAAAGCAAAGCATTCTTTGTAATGTGGTAGGCTTCACTTTCCTTTAGACCCAATAAAGCCACAAAAACTCATCATGGGTTACTTCACCCAACATAACCAAAGAAACTACAGACCAATAGCGACAGTCTTTTGAGTTCCGATGCCAAAAAGTGTAATCTTAAAGATCTGCCTCCTTGCTTTGCTTTGTTTTGTGTTTTGTTCTGCATTTTTAGTTTAATTTCACACCTACAATTTGCTGGAGCCTGTGGCTCTTTCTATTCCTTCCTCATACAGAACTAAAGTTTAGAATACTCCTGTTGGCTAGCTGACTATAGTACATTTAACAAACAACACAAACCTACTTTGAAGATTTATTAGCTCATATTCTAATGTGAACACATTCGGGTTTCACCCTCAAGAAGAAAAGGAGGGGAATTTCTTTTTAACAAGAAGCTGGGTGGAGTTCAGCAGGACTGATTCTCATCAGAACTATTTCTATTACATTTTGAGACAGTAATACACAAATTAACTTCCATGCACATACAAACCTCTCTATATCAGATGCACACACTCGAGATGTAACTGTTCTTCAGGCTGACTGCAGCTGCCAAGTCAGCTGGAGGACAATACTTCTGCTGCAGGTACATGAGAGTTTAGGTAAACCCAAGTAAGCATCATTTATCTAAAAACTTGCATTCTATTTTCACTCTACCACTGAGATGTAACAAGTAAAGTAAAATAGAGGATAAAAGTCTCTTTTGTATCTCATGGCCTACTTAGGTAAGAACTAAGGTTATATATACATTCATAGCCACAGATGAACTTGTTGAAGAGTTACACCAGTACGAAGAACCCACCACGTTAGAAGAAAGCAGTGATGGAGTCTTTGTCTTCTGAAACATTTTCATCTCTTCCACCAAGGTTTGTCTCCTCAGGTGTGCAGACACCTCCTGGAGGAAGCTCTTACACTTCAGCTGCTGACTTGAGCTCACTTAACTTTAGGTCTCAAGCCCAACTTCCAATGAGGGCTTAATGAGGGAATAACTAACTTCAGGGGACAAGGATTGTTCTTTTGGAGCTATAAACAAAAGGCACCTGAACTGTTTTTAAGGGAGCATGTTCTTTTACTGCCAACAGAAAAACAATAGATGGGTCTTACTGTACAGTCACAGGAAATAGTTTTGTAGCTTATCCCTCAAATGTATTTGAAAGCCATTTCCAAATCTGACTCCATTTTAAGGACAACAGGAACAATTTGGGAATTATTTTAATATTAGAATGCCATTTAGTTATTAAGTTACCAATCAGGAAAATTACTCTTTTTTTTTTTTTTTTTTGCTTGTTTCTAAATTATTTTTCCATTATGATTAAAAAAAAAAAAAGTAACAAATGTAAATGTAAGATGTCTGAGGTACATGCTGAGGTATGTATCCAGCATCCAAGTGTGGGAAGGAGAAAACCCTACCCAGCTCCTTCACTCTTCAGACTGGTGGTGAGCTACTGATAAGTGAGTTTTCTCCTAAATAGGTAAGTATTTAAATAGGTAAATCTTACAGATGGAATATGTTTTGTCAGATTTGATGCTGTTTCATGCTAGGCTCCTTTAACACCCCCCCACACACACACTTTCTCAAACCAGCTCCAAACTTTCAACTTCCAATGTTTGGTCATTTTCGTATACCCATGTGCAAATGTCTCTTCAGACAGGCATTTTGCAGCCTTCTATTAGCAAGGGTGAAGGTTGGGTCAGAAATGGTTGAGTTAAATAGGAGCATTATCTGTTTTGAAGCCAAAGTCTCTCTTTCAACCCTTGCAAACAAACTGAAACTGGGAACATTATTTCTAGTGGAATAATTTGCAAAGTAACAATTGCAGAAATCCCTATTTCATGGGCAACACTATTGATGTTATTCCTTTATAGCAGCATTTGACAGGGCAAAAGATGCATCTTTAATTTGTACTCTAAGACACTAATACACAACAGACATTGACTCTCTGGGTGGTTTTAGCACCTCCTAAGAAATACCACTGTTTTCTAGTGGCCTAGAAGTCAGCCAAGAAGCCCTGATGTTAATACAGTCCCGGAACAGTCAGTGCAAAACAGGGCACGGTCTCTCAGTTGACAAATTAGACTAAAGCACTCTGAGTACAGGTGTACTGAGAGAGGGTGAAAGAGTTTTAATCATTTGGAGATAAAAAGAGCAATATAGACATGTAAAGACACAGGAGAAATATCTTTAGGAAAAGACAGTCCAGAAGATCACTGGTGATGTTAGATCTTTGCTCTCTTTTCACTAGAACAGTCCAGTCTGAGGTGTTTATGGGAATGGAGAAAGGAAGCCCTCCACGTTCCTGAATAACACAAAGATTAAATGCATGCATGTTTTCATTCTATAAAAGCTGAACTTGGAAAGCAGGTTAGCCCCCTTTATTTTTTGTTACATGGCACACTGGTGTGAAGTTTTCTGTATCTTCTGCTGACAAGTTCATTTGTCAGTATCTGTTTAGCTCAGTGGCTGATATATTGAGAAATAGATTTCATTTATTTTTACAATTGATTTTACCTTCCTTTTTACATATCCAGCTGAACACATTTAGAGGAACCAGTATTTATCAGGTAGCTCAACAGGTAGCCATATGTTAAACATTGGTTTTGTACAAAAACTAGTGGGCAGGTTGATACCAAGTGGGCTGCACTTAGAAGTCTTTTGAGGCAAACCACCCAATTCCTTCTCTTCAGTTCCCCTTCACTTACCTATCACAAGAGAACATCCTACCCCTTATTCTGAGAAGTGAGAAGGAAGATATGAAACCATTAAATTAGGACCATATTTGCCTTTTAAGCAAAGAGTATTAAACTGGAGTTTTAGTTGTACAGAACTAAGTATTCCCTCCAACTTGTACATGATGCACCTGTATTAATTTATGCGGCTGTTTAGTTACAAGTGTTGCAAGCTGATTGTTAAGTCATCAGTATGTGCCTTGTACTGTAAACTGTTATTGTAATAAATTTAATATTCATAATCCATCTGTAGTCTTCTCTTGTGCCTCTCTTATGGGAAAAAAGAACAAAGATACAACTCAATTCCAAACAGCAGCAGAACATCCAGCCCAGTTTACTACCCCAACAAGAACTCTTTGCCAAACAGCAGAGGATTTCCTTCAGTTCTTTCACTCTATTCCAACAGAAGAAACAAAAGCAAATTACATTTGTTTAGACAGAACAGCAAAACCGAACTGATCCACACTTGGAGTAAGTGCTTAGCTACTTGATGAGCTTATATGTAAAACTCATTTCAAGGCTTTGTAAGTAAACTGGCAGGCTTGGCATTTAACTTCACTCACATTTTGTCTCATTACTAAGGCTGAACCAAGACTTCACAGAAACACCAATCTTAAAACCTTTTTTAATGTTAGTTCACTTTACTGTAGCATAAAAGCAATAAAGTAAAAGAAACTACTGTCAAAAGTGTTAAAAATGCATTCTAAAACCTACAGCCACTGTCAGATATCCCACTTACCAAGCTAGAGATTAGAGATAACTTTACTCTTCATTATGAACCTTTGAACAGGTTGACAAATGTAAAACATTACTTCCAGTAGAAACAAGCAGATACAACTGTAATACATAAACTCATATACAAGCACAAGGCTCATAGACCTTATTTCACACACAGATGCAGTAAAATAACACAAGCATTAAGAAGACCCACACATTAGATCCAGTATGTATCTTACACTTTATTTGTTTCTGTACATTAGGTCCCCAAGACCAAAGCCCAAACATAAATACAAAATTCATATATCAATATGCCTCTGGCTTACAAAACACCATAGTACATACAGAAATTTCCTAGATTATTATTCAGGCTGGTTTTCTTGCCTTTTTCTTCACTTTTACAGGTCTGTTGCTCACTTTTGAAAGCATCAGTTGGCAACAATGCCTCCTGCCAAGGGCTGAGAACCCCTTTCTCTCAGCAGAGCTCACTGCTTCAGCTCGGAGCTGCCGTGTTTTTTAACACTCCTAGGTCTGTTCCAGAATCTTCAAATGCCCAGAATCTTATGGGTTGGGTGCTGAAAGCCAGGATGGATGGAATCAGCCCAATTTAATATTTCAACTGTATAAAGACACTAAGGCTGTTTTTCAAGTGATCCATGAACCCATTTCAAGTTGCTCCTCTACTACAGCACACAGTTTCTTAGATGAAAGCCAGGAATAAATAACTAGGACACACTTTTACCTCTGTACAGGAGTCCATGCAGCAGTGACTTTTCCTTCTGGTTGACAGACCGGGTGTTTTTGTCCACCACAGGGTTGTTAATCTTCTTCCTTCTCGATGTAAGATTTGGCACCGACACGTGCCATCTGCCTTGCCAAGTACCGGTCCCTTGCTGACATGACTGTCTCCTCATTGCTCCGTTTGGCAAATTTGCTCATGCTCTCAGCTGGTTTCTGTGCTTGTTCTTTCTCCTCTTTATCCCCTTCTCCAGATTTACGTTTCTGCCCAGATGACATTTCAGAGCCGGATCTTCCCTTCTCATCTACCTCCCTCTCTCTTCCCTTTCTCTCTTTTTCCTGATCAGTCTCTCCATCTTTTTCTAAAGGTGTAGAACTCCTTCCCCTCCTCTCTCTGTATTTCTTTTCATCGTTACCATATTTCTCTCTCCTGTCCTTCACATGATCTTCCTTTTCTCTATGTTTCTCTCCTCTCTCCTTCTCTCTGTCATTATATCTATCTTTACCATTTCTTATTCTTTCTTTTTCTCGTTCCTTTTCTGAGCCCTTCTCATCTCTCTCCTTTGTTATTCTTTCTTTCTCTCGTTCCTTTTCTGAGCCCTTCTCATCTCTCTCCTTTCCTTTCCTCCATTCTCTGCTGTGTCCCTCCCTCTCTCTTCTTTCCTTCCCTCTTTGTTTATCGTCCTGCTCTTCCCTCCTCCTGTAGTTATCTTTATTAGTATGATCCCCGTATCTATGTCGCTCTTCCTTATCCCTTTGGTGATCCTTTTCATAGGTCCTACTTCTCTCATGATCTTTTTCCCTGTATTGTTCATCACTTCCCCTTCTACTTGGTCTGCTCTCTCCCCTCCTTGTAAGATGATTTCTTTGGGCTTTTGAGGGTGGCTCTTCCTCCACACT